ACCCAGTTCAGGACAGCCAAACCCAACTCCAATTAATTTTCCTAATGCTGCTAAACCTCGCAATTCCCGGGGTAACGAAGTGGAATTTCTGCTCCTGATCCCTCAGAATTTAACAACTCGTCGGTCGACACAGTAACAGAAAACGTTTAATGTTTGCTTCCGAGTTTTAAAAATATTTTTTCTTTTGAAACCGCACAATAATAATAATAATCCTTGCATTTGATACGTCTCAGAGCGCTTCACAGAATAGACTGGAAAGTGAACTGACTGTATATTTGTGGGCAAGATGTGGCAACCAATTGCACACAGCAGTGTCCCACAAACAGTCGCGGATTGAAGTGACCAATTTATTATTGTTCTTTTTTCTTGAGGGATTATTTCCCAATGCAATTGGGAACCTTGTTTATTATTTAAATCGTTCCACTCTTAACAGTTAAGAGTTTCTCTCTCTCTCTCTGTGTGTCTCTCTCCTGGAGACCTCATAAGGTTTCAGACGTTCAACTAGGTCTCTGCCAACACTGCACAGCAATCAGACACCGGGACTCGAGCCAGGAGGAACAGAAGGTCAAACGGACAAGTGGGGCTTAACCGAGTAACTGAGATCAGTAGTGAGCATAAACAAGCATTTGTTGTGGTGCCTCCGGCGACTAACATCAACGCTTTGCATTGACATGGCTTGTTCAACACGGAACAATGGCAACAGGTCTCAAGGTGCTTCTCAGGGAAGCGCCGTCAAGTGTAGTGACCGCTGATGCGGGATAACCCGGCGGACAGTAAGGCACCATTATGTAAAGAAACACAAGGTGAACATCTGCTGTGGTCATCTCACACACACACACACACAGAATATATACACACACATACACTTGTGACTTGGGTGAGTCACAAGAGCAGTGTACAGCAAATTGGATCACAGACGCTTCTCCTTCCTTGATTCTACTCCCCACCCCTTCCCTCACCACCACCCCACGCCCAACCCCAAACTGGCTTCGCAGTTGTGAACACACAGGGTGGGGGGGAAGAGTTAATAAGGTCAGGATGTTCAGCAACATGAAAGACCCTTTGGAGCCAATAAACACAAAACCTTCTGGGGGGTGTTTTTTTTTGGGGGGGGGGGACAGTCACACACATAGAGTATATGCACACACGCACACACACTCAGTACGCTCACACACGCTACTCTCCAGATACTTTCCATGCGACGGGTGGGAATTGGGGAACTGGGGAGGAAACCGTCGGAATACGTATGAGTGGTGTCTCTGTCCTCCGCCAGGCGCCTATGGTGGACCGCTTTCACTTCCAAACCTTCCCCGGCACACCAAACTTTTCGGGATCAGGTCAAGAAAGACAACAACAACAACTTGCATTTATACAGCGCCCTTCACCTGGAGTAAGTTTGACAAAACCCACCACTTTACAGTAAAATCCTGCGAAGTGCTTTGAGATGTCTCGGCGACGTAAGCGATCAGGCACTGTGTGCATCAAATGCAAGGTTCATTATCATTATTATTATTATTATTCATCTTGCGCGCCCCAAATCAGGAGCTTTTGCAAAACCATCGCTGGGTGTTCGACGGGAAGCCGCTTTAGCTTTTTTTCCCCCACAGATTTTTGTCGGGAGCAAAAGTGGCAGGAGAAAACGTGGACCACAAAGGGTTAAACCACGGGAGGTGAATAATGCATTCAACATCTGCTCCAACAGATGGCCTTTCCTGTTCACCACTGTGGTCCTGCAGAAGCAGCCTTCCGTCTCTCCCCTGTCCATCTACTGAGCGCACAGAGAGAGGCGAGGACAGGAGCAAAGTTCGAAGGAATCGGGGTGGGGTGGGGTGCGGGGGAGGGGGGGGGAGAGGAGGCACAGAAATTCTCGTTTACCACAATTCAGGTTTTTTTAAAAAAAACAAGACACCAAAATGAAGAGCCGTTCAATTTATATCCTGTCGGTAATTTGCAACAGAATGAAAAGCAAAACACAAACAAACAAAAAATCCATTCACCCTCATCACTGAAGAGAGGATTATGTAAATTTACTGTAAATCCAAATTACAAAAAAATGCGCTCGACATGTACTGACCGATTGTGATTCTCTTTAAGCCGACTCTAAACTGCACTCAGTCTGATCAGGGTTTAAATTTTGCATCTGGAAGAAACTCACAATAATAATAATAATTAATAATAATAACAGTCATCGCATTTGGTACGGTACGCTTTACGTTGGGAGGACGTCTCCAGGCGCTTCGTGGGATTTACCGTACAGTGTAGTGACCGAGTTTTGCAGGCGAATGTAGCCGGATTATTGGACGACTGGGTTTCAGACGCTTTTCCACTTCGTTACGAATGCACGGCATCAAAGCCAATTCGTTGCAGCAGCTACAAGCGTGAACTGACTACGTTTGCGCCCATCGTTCCCGCTTCCGTAAAAACCAGAGCGTGCGCTGGCGAGGCGAAGCGAGCGCGCTCAACTTTCCGTGTGGACAGCTGTGTGTATAAACCTGACACCTCGCTGTCAGTGACCTGGGAGACAATCTGTATTGGCTTTACACACAAAATAAAATCAAGTCTATTCTTCAGAAATGCAAACAATGGGCTTTGGCATGACTGCAATGTTGGATGAGTCACAAGGCCAGTGTACAGCAGACTGGATCATGGACGCTTTTCCTTCCTTGATTCTATTCCCCCCAACGCCCAACACCGCACCACTCCCAGCCCCAAACTGGCTCCGCAGTTGTGAACGCACAGGTGGGGAGAAAGAGTTAATAAAGTCAGGATGTGCAGCAACATGAAAGACCCTTTGGAGCCAATAAACTCAAAACCTTCTGGGGGGTGGTTTTTTTTGGGGGGGGCGGGGGGGTGCAGGCAACGCCACCCATTGAAGGTCCCACCACATTGAGTCTTTCTCCAAGTGCTTCGCTGGATTTTACTGTCCAGTGCCAGTGACTGTTTTTTGTACACAGCCTGCAGAGCGGGGGTTCAATATCCTAGTTAGTCCTTGCACTCAAGGAACATTTGATTTCACAAGTGGAGCCACAAGGTCTAATCAAGGCGTCTTGCACATCCATCTTACAGGATTCCAGGAACTAAACAAGGCCGGGTATCTGCAAATCTTTTCCGGGAAAATGTGAATCAAACTCTTGCAATCAAACCTTCTCTGCCGTGTATTCCAGTACAGAGCATTGACATGAATGACTCTAACCATTATTCACACCTGTGCATTTTATATACACTGTTGTTTTTGTGCTGTCGGTAGGCGTTAACACCTGAAACAATTAGGATTCCCTCGAGTCTAAAATCAATCACAAATCAATTTGTTTTTTTTTTTAAAAATTGCTTCAACCCTTACATTTATTAAAGACCTCTTTTATCTACATTTTCTGAACAGTAATAAACGTGAAGCAGTAGAAAGATTAGCAGTGGAGGCTGTGCCAGGATATTGAGGATATTTTGATCTGTCTGTCATTGAGACATAGGACAACGTACGTTACTTAACATAAAGAGGAACAGTGTTTCCTCGGTTCTATAGTTCACTGGAGCTAGTTTACCGATTGGCGTTTCTGAATCGATCTGATGATTATCGCGCTCAGTTGCGACACTGCTTGAGTTTCTCGTCTCTGATTACAACAACAGAAAGTAGCCAGCATTGGAAATGAGATTCCCGGTCAAAAAAAAAATAATTTTCGGTCCCTCAATCCACAACTGTTTGCGGGACGCCGCTGTGCGCAATTGGCTGCCGAGTTTCGGACACAAAATACACAGTCAAGCTACTTTACAGTATATTCTGTGAAGCACTTTGAGACGTCTTGACGCCGTGATAAGCGCTATATCAAATGCAAGGATTATTATTAATATTAATTATTATTGCCGCGAGTGAAGATGCCTTTGCCACAAACGGCCATAGCCCCCAAAGCTTTCTCGAGACATTGAAAATCCCTTTGGCAGATTCTCTAAAAAACTCGACCCAACAACCTCCGAAGGGTTATCGACTGCGTCCCAACTGTTTCCTCTCCTGCCATATGGTGCCCTATTTGTCAATGTAATGGGAATCAATTAAGCATTTGCAAAACCGTCTTCAATTCCCAGCAGAAATCAGATAAGCTCCCGAATTTAGGGAAATCCGCAAATGTGCAATTTACTTTCTATTTGGGACGATGCAAATTTCTTCAGAAACAAACAATGAGCACAGGACAGGTCTCAACTCTTTGTGGCCGAAGTGCGGCAGCCAATTGCGCACAGCAGTGTCCCACAAACAGTCCTGGGGTTGAGTGACCAAAATTATTATTATTTTTTGGAGGGATTATTACCCACAGAAAGTGGTCTGCCAATCGACTAACAACCGGGTTCCTACTTACTGCACTTCCAAAGGATCGCAATTCCCTACACTTCAGCACTTAACAACGAATCCTCACCAGCAATTAATTCCAAATATGCGCTCATCTCCCAAAAGATTCCAGATGTTTCTAACCTAGAAACCTCTGGCTACTGCGAAATGAGAGGAGGAAACCCAAACATTGCGTACAGTGCAAGTAAATTAAAATCAAGTCGTCAGAAAGGCAGAGTGTGATTTTTGTGCATCAAATGTGGAAGAATTTCAGGAGCAAACGCAACCGATGTGTTTTTTTTTTACACACACGCAGTTTCTTTCTCCCCTTTCCTCACAAACACAATTTCCGCGACTCGTACAGCTGTTTGCAACAGAACGCATCAATTTCCAGTCTTTCCCCTCCACGGTTGCTAAGTAAGCTCCTTCGAGTCATTACATAGACACGGTATGATGCTACCACAACAGGCAATGGGCTTAATTAACCCTCGCTAAACACCAAGCTGGGTCGGGCTGAAATGCTGTGCAAAAGCAGATATGGGGCATCGCGTAACTCAGCAATAGCTTTTCGTCATGACAACTTGTATTTCAATATTGTGATGAAAATTGCTTACACCTTACAGTGAAAGCTACCTCTCAGTCTCGGATTCTGTACACAAACGACCACCAGAGCAGAGAAACCTACCTGCGTTCGCATTCGGACTTGGGCACAGGAAAGCCTGAAAGCTGGACGCACAAAGCTCGCTGACAGTCCCCATCACCACGATCGATCAAGTGCTTTCAGTTAAACCCAGGGACCGGCTAAATGCATCCGTTTCGAACGGTTGTTCTCGCCTTCGCTGAAGCAGCATTTAATCCAACCAGTGGTCAGAGGGAGTCTTGGAAGTTGCACCATCGAATGGGGAACTGCTATATATAGGAAGGAGAGGTGATGACAGCTTTTGGCTGCCAGCAACCAGCTTGCAACTGACCACGTACCCTCACGGAAAGGCTTAAAACATTTCCAAATTGCCAAGAATTAAAACGTCACCGTCTGACAACCTGCCTCACGCTCCTCTCTCCGCCAATCAGGAGCAGGCAGAGGAAGAACAGTCAGTCTAAGATCGAATTAAGCCAATAAAGTTGAATCGTTTAGAACTGGTTTGCTGTCCCTCTCTCCCTTATTCCCAAATCCCTCCCCCCCCCAACCCGCCCCACTTCCTCCCTCGCCCTCCCCCCTTGCTCGCTCTTTTCCAATTTTATTTCAAGGTTATTTTTTTTTCCCACCCCTTATCTTTTCTTTTCTAACAAAAAATCAAGGATGCAATGTTCACCTGTTAAACCTCAGAAATATCAAGTGTTCACTGTTGCCTGGCAACTAGTTACATAAAACCGAGCGCTCTGTTCGGATGTGCCACTCTCAGTGGTGTGAAGAATGAGGTTTCATTTTTGATTAAAAGAAAGTGCAAACCCATGTGCAGGGTGTGGGGGGTTAATAAAAGTACCTTTTCAGTTAGTGCCGGGCAGGGCGAAACATTGGGCAAGTTTCCTTACTCCACACGCCTCTGTTTACCAGCAATAAGTAGGAACTCGGTTGTTATTCAATTGACCGATCGCTTTTCCACAGGTAATAATCCCTTCAAAAAAGTAAGAACAATAATAATTCGGTCACTCGATCCGCGACTGTTTGTGGGACACTGCTGTGCACAATTTGTCCATTTTGCCCACAAAAATATGCAATCATTCCGCTTTACAGTTTATTCTGTGAAGCGCTTATTGTATTATTATATAGTGAGAGAACATAGAACTTCACCTCCAGAGAACCGAGAAGGCAATTCTAGATGTTATTCCGACATGCCTGCTTCCATCTCCTAAAATAAAATGAACTGAGGTTCAAACCACGGACAAAAATCACTCGGAATTATATAAAAAAAATTTAAAACTTGCCAGCGAGTCCATTAACATGATCCAAGCCATTTAATGTTGGTTCCAACCGTCTGAGTACTCTGTGACCAGCTTAATGTGTATCAGGTCGATCCACCCCCCCATATTTTAGAAAGATTATTCTGTGATGAAATGGATAGGATCAGGATAGTAAAAGCGTTGGCGGTGTGTGTGTGTGTGTGTGTGGGGGGGGGGTTTAACAAAAGATATAACATTTGCTTCTGAAATTCCAGCCCGACTCAGTCAGTGATACGTTTGCCTTCAAGTCAGAAGGTTCCCCCAAAGATGGGGGCTGTGTGATGAAGCCCCCCATCTTTGCAGGGTGGTGGGATTGACTTTGAGATCACTGTCAAGACTGACGCCCAAGTGCAGCGCTAGGTCGGGGGGGGTGGGGGGGAAGGAAGTATAACCATCTTTAAAACAACAAAGTAATGGGTTTCTGTACCTCTTTTATTTCTTGGAATCCAAGATTTTTAAGATTCCGGGCTTCAACATAAACGAGTCTTGCTTTGAAAGCTTAAAAGGGAAGTACAACAACAACAGCAAAATGACATTTACAGAGCGCCTTTCACGTCGGAAGGACGTCCCAAAGCGCTGCACAGTCAGGGGTCGGGGCCCGAGCATGGGAGAGGGGTGGTGTAGAGGTGAGGGAAGGCAGAGAGGTGGGAGGGAGACCAAAGGCACGGTCGAAGAGAAGGGTCTTGAGACCGGCCTTGAAGGAGGCGAGGGAGCAAGCGAGGCGAAGGGACCGTGGGATGGAGTTCCAGAGTGTGGGGCAGAGAGGCTGAAAGCCCGGCCACCGATGGGGAGGGCAGGTCGGGCGGGAGACATGGAGCAGCCTGGAGCCCGATGAACGGAGGGAGCGGGCAGGTTGGTAGGGAGTCAGCAGGTCAGAGGGGTAGGAGGGGGCAAGGCCATGGATGGCCTTAAAGGTGAGGACGAGGAACTTGAACTCGAAAGGTACATCTGAAGGGTAATCCAGAGCACTGCTGATGACAGTACAGCCCAGGCTGGCTCATCGGCAAGACATGGAAAGGCTAGTCACTGGGGGCAGGGAATCATCCCACTCAACACCTGTTAACCTTGCCAGCAAAAGCCCTTTTGTGTAGGGTGGTCCTAGCAGGACAACCAGCGCGAAAGCTTGGCAGACAGCAATATCAATGGCAAGTTACGCAGTTGTAGCTGGTTAGACTCCAGCAGTTACCCTAACACACACTCTGTGGTCCCCAAGCCTTGGTTCTTGCCAACCTGCGCCTAATATTTTCTGGAATTAGGTAAGCGGAATGTATCTCTCCAAGGGAAAGGCATTCCATTCCACAACCTCTCTCTGGAATTTCCTTGTGTGGGTGGGATTCATGGAATGCTCAGTTTGGGTTGGATACTCTTAAAGGCATGGTGATGGGTTTCCGCAGGTGTCAAGACACTTGTCTGACCAAACAAAACGACATAGTTTTTCTCATCTGACTCAATTAATCTCGGCTCGACTGCACTTGGAAGCGGACTATAATTGGAACAATTTATCTTCGTTCCTTTCCCTTTACATCACCATCCTAAGATTACAACTGCAAGGTTTAAAAGTTACTGGGGCGAGGGTGGTGGAGAGACTGCGTGATTGTGGGCAGGAGCAAAATCAGAATGCCGAGAAGAACTGAACATTATTGAGTTGGTTCCAAAAGCAACAGATGCCCCTGTTTTCTGTCTTCTCTTTTTTTTCCCTATGAGATGTACGTCCGCGAAGAGATTTCACGGCTTCAAGGCTGAAAACGCTGTTGCTAAGCCCTCTGCGGACTCCGGCATTGAAACCTGTTGCTATGACACAGAAATACACGCTGTATTTTGCTGATCTATTGTTAGACAAAATGACAGGATTGGAAAAATAACTGGGAAATTGAAAGCACTTTGCAGCGAAGCTTTTCATTCTCATTATTTCTCTGGCAGCCGAATCCATAATTGAAACACATGTCGAATCAGGCCAGGCACATCCATTCAACAAAGGCACTTATCGTCTCGGGGTCAAAGGCTGATTCATTGCCACACAACAGCTACCGCATGGAAATAGGCCATTCGGCCCAACTGGTCTGTACTAATTGTAATAATGATAATCCTTGCATTTAATATACAATACAAAATTACATTTGTATAGCGCCTTTCACGTCGAGAGGACGTCCCAAGGCACTGGGATAGCAGCTAGTTTTAGCAGCTGCTTGTCCCAACGAGGACCACCCTACCCATCAGGGCTTTGGCTTGCAGGGTTAACAGGAGCTGATACAGCACCTTATCGGGCAGCGGCTATGGAGAAAGGAAAGTGATAGTGCCTGACCCGCTGAGTGTTCCCAGCCACTTCTGGTTTTGCTTTGAGATTGCCAGCATCTGCAGTATTTTGTGCTTTGTAGCACCTTATCACGTGTTTGAGACGTCACAATACGCTTCCCGGAATATACTGTAAAGTGAATTGACTGTATATTTTTCTGGGCGAAACGTGGCAGCCAATTGCATACAGCAGTGTCCCACAAACAGTCGTGGATTGAATGGCCAAATTGTTACTTAAAGCATTTATTGTTTTTTAAAAATCGATTAATACCCCCGAAATGCGATCCACCAATCAACTAACAACCGGGTTCTTACTTACTGCTAGGTGAACAGTGTGGAGTGAGGAAACTTGCCTAACGTTGCCTAAACCCCCCCGGGAATCAGACCCAGGAGCTCTTATTGACGAGACAGTACTCTAACCCGCCCACACATTCCCTTCCCGCCACCCCTCTCTGCAGCGGGTGAAGCGGGCTGATGAAGAGGCAAGTTACAACATAAATTGGCAAGGAACTCAGATCACGATACACTTGGCACTGCGTGTGTCAACAGGTACAAGGGGAGGCAAAGACTAAGCCCCAAGGATTAGTAGAGGTGAACTGAAAGTAGTCGTGGGAACCCTGCCAATCTCAAAGCGAATCTGGGCGCGCACGGTGTCATTTTAATGATCTATGCAAAGAGAATTAAATGCTTCAGGTGATACGATAAACATATTTTGTAGAAAGTTGTTTGAAACAATATTTTGGGGGTTTGGTTTTTGTTGTTCGCTGGCAGAGATCAGCGGAGAGATTTCCTGCATCGTTTCTGCTCACGATCCCCGACGGCTACGGATCAGGCTCGCAATAATTCCTGAAATTCTCCAGAGCAAGCACCTGCCTGCAGCACCAAAAACACTTGGCAGAAAACTGCTGTCTGGTGTAGTGACTGTCCCAACTGTAACCAACTCGAGGAGGGGGTGGGGGGTGGGAGGGGATGGAAAGAGATGGGTTGAAACAAAGTGAGAGGCACAGAGTAGACCTTCCTCTTTGATGGTGTCCATGGTCACCTCCCCTCTCTCCCTGGCACCCCATCAGTCAAGCATGTCTGGAGAGCTCCAGGTGCACAACTACAACAACTTGCATTTACACAGCACCTGCCAACAAGCACCAGCTCAGCTCAGGGCTTGTAAGCGCCCATTGCAGAGGAACTGATTCGGGCCCTCAGCGCTGGCTCTTGCCACTGCCTACAAGACCCTGGCCACCAGTGTTGACAGGCGCAATCGTGAGTAATTCTCAAGGAATGAGATCACGGAATCCAACCCGACCCAATGTTTGCCGCGTCGGCTTTAATTAGAAAGAGACCATCAACATTCTAGGTGGCTGCAGACAGCAACGCCCACCAACTGTACGTCGCTCCCATTAACAGCTATTGTACCACACTCAACACAGCCCTGGAAGAGGTTACTTACTCCCACGCTAAGCCGAGCTCCTGTCTGCTTGTTCAGGTGGATGTTTAAAGATTCCCCGCACCCCACCGGCGCTATTCGAAAGGACAAAGGGAGTTTCTCCTGACGACCCGGCCAATAATCCTGGTAGATAAACTGGGTGCTCGCTTCGACTATTTGCGACAACCTTCTGTGTGCATGGCTCGGCTGTTGCGCTTGTCCAGTCACCAACCACACTCAACAGCAGTTACTAACCACGAGACATCAGAGGGAATTATGAAACGCGAGGATTATTATGTTATTAATGGTC